AAGAAAAAAGAGGAGGAAGGTGGTGGCATTGATGTAACATATAATACGTTGCTCGAAGAAGGAGACGAGGAATCGGATCTAGGAAGCATCCCAAATTCATTTCGTCAACTAAGGGAACATCATTTCCCACTATTTATTACCTACAATAAGTTTTCTAAAATGCTTCAAGGAACTTATGGTATTGATTCACAGAAATTGACTACACAACCAAGGTCTTATGTGGATGATTTTAGTGCGGAAGAAGAAGACGATGATGAACTAAGCTCCAAATCCTCATCTATCAATAAATCAAACTTACCACGGCAAAATTTTGTTGACTACAAGAGTTTTCATACGAATTATTGGCCTCATTTCAGTGATAGTTATAAGAAGAATCTGGATTGTGAATTAGTCTTTTCTGAATTTTCTGTTATTAAAGTATGTAATAATATAAGATTTTACTCATATAAAATGTATAAACGTACTACCGTTTGATCTTTTTTTTTTTTTTCTATAAGGGCTCAAATCCAGAAGTGGACTGTTTATCAAGAGAAGATTATCGAGCTATTAGTGTCAAGAAATATCCAACATTTTGTCATAACCGTGATAAAATTTATGATTTATTTCAGCAATATGAAAAGATGAAAGCACAGCGTGGTGATTATGATTCTATAGATCGGTAAGACTTGGGTGTATCATGAATAATTTTTTTAGCTTGACTAAAATTTTATAAAATCTTAAACCTGTTCATAGAACGCTAGCAATCTTGAATTGCGTTAAAATGAAAGGAACGAAACCACTTGGTAACCTGCAAGTTCACGAAGTGTATATTGATGAATGCCAAGACAACCATATCGTGGATTTTGCACTTATCTTAAAGCTCTTCGAACGTTCCGATAGCATTTTTTTGGCCGGGGACATAGCGCAATGTATTGCACGAGGATCGTCTTTCCGATTTCAGGGTAGGCATGATCTTTTTTAACAACAATAATAATCATAACAATCATAACAGGATATATATTGGTTAATTAATAGTCAATCGGCTAATTTTGTGGTTTCAGATTTAGTAGAGTTTCATTATTAACTGTGACAATAATTAGACCGTATCATTTTAAACTTTTAATACTTCTATAGATTTACGTTGCTTGA